CATGGTGGCACATGCCTGTAGTCCTCACACTCAGAAGGCTGAGGCAGGAGATTACTTGAATCCAACAAAATTAGACCAGCCTAGGTGATCTAGGCAACATAGTAAAGACCTTGTCTCAAAAAATAAAATTAAAAAACAGAATGGGAGTGGGTATTCTAAGTTTATGGAAAAATAAGGAAAACTTCTCTGATAAGTAAAATGAAGGAAGATGATAACCAAAGAATAGGATCATTAGGTAAGCTGATCAATGAAACAATAAAAACACAATAATAACCCAAAATTATATGTAGGAACTAGGCACATCTATAGATAAGATTTCAAATCAGTAGAAAAAAAGACTAGTTAATAAAGGATACTGAGGTAACTGAGTAGCTACCCACAAGAAAAATAATGTTGTACTTCTATTCCAATATTTTATTCAACTTACATTTATATAGATAAGTATATCTAAATTAAAAATAAAGTTATTTAAGTACCAAGAAAAAAACATAAGAATATTCATTTCAATTTTAACTAGAAATAATATTGGCCAGGGAAGGCCTTTCTTATCACACAGAACTGTAGAATCTGGTCATTTTAACTGCAAAGCATTTTTAAAATTTCCTCTGAAAAAATAAACTGTATATGAGCGTGTCAAAGGACATAAAAAGTGTGCAAAATATCTGCAATGTATGTCAAAGACTAAAAACAAATTTCCTTTACAACACAAGAGTTTTTATAAACAATATAAAATCTCAGTAGAAAAATGAACAAAATACTATAAAGGAAACAAATACAGCTCTCATATTTTAAAAGGTGCTTAAGAAAAATATTCCAATTAAACTGGCAATTTAAATAAAGCTTTACTAATTCACTCCATTACCAAAGGAAGAGGAAACAAGGAAGCTACCAGCCATCTTCCACAGAATACAAACAGGCATAACCTCAATAAAGTGTAACTTGATAGCTTTCAAAATTCAAATAGTATGTGTGTTCTGACCTAGCACTTCCACTAATTTATCCTAAAGACAGACTCACTCTCATGTGCAAAATTCTGTAGGTGCTGGGATAGTCACTGTATCAGTCTGTGTTAGCAACGCTGCACACACTGTAAATGCCCATCCAAACAAAGAGATCTCAGCATCTGTCTCTCTATACACACAAACACATGCACATCCCTTCTGGAAAATATACAAAAAAACTACCTTTGATGGCTTCCAGGAAGTAAGTCAATTAGCTAGGGTCAAGGGTGAAAGGAAAACTTGCCTTTACCACAAATTCTTCTGTATCATTTGAATTTTACACGTTAACTTATGTTTCAGTATTATTTTTACCTAGCTTCACCAGTTACTCTGTTTTGTCAGTATTCCAGTTCCTATGTTATTGACTGTTTTCCCAACCAACACATTTCATTTCATCACACTCAAACAGTAAAGGTTACAACAGTAACTTGGATCCCATACCCCAGGAGCTTTCTCTGCACATTATTCTACAAAAAGCACTGCTCCCTCTTCTTTTTGTCCCCATTTTTATTAGTGCATATTGGTGATGAATAGGTTTCATTTTGGCAGATCTGCACGTGTACATAACGTACTTTAACCATCTCCCCATCATTCCCTTCATCCCCCCTCCCTCCTAGTCTCAACTGGGGTTTCATATACACAATGTGCTTTGATCATATTCTCTGTTCTGGGTGTAGAGAAATTATAAATTACCTAGGACTACAATGCTATGTGCCACCTATGTGGCAAACACTTAATCATGACTGTTTTTTAGAAAGAGCAGAAAGGCAAGAAGGTGCTCGAAGTTTCATAAAATATCACTTGTGCTATCAAAACAGATTCAGAGTCTAGTCCACTACTTCACAAGAATTGATTTTATCCCTTTGTCACTGGGACTACAGGAAAGTGAATCATGATAAATCAAATTTACTAGACATTAATGTCTTACACATAATTCAATGTATTAATTTAGAATGTTAAAATGTATATATAAGCTGGGCTTGGTGGCACACGCCTGTAATCCCAGCACTCAGGAAGCAGACGCAGGAAGATCACTGTGAGTTCGAAGCCAGCCTGGGCTACATAGTGAATCCAAGTCTAGCCTGAACTGAAAAAAGTCCATGTATATGCATGTGGTACATGTGTACATATGTAAGTATATATGCACATATACAGTAGCCTTGCCAAATATATATTTGGAGAATCACATGATGCTATGATAATGTAAAAAGGAAGAAGAGATCAAGTCAGAAAAGTCAGCCAAGTCTTCCTTGGAAACAGACAAAAACAACGTAACTGAGCTGGGAGATGGTGGAAGGGAAGTTAAGGGAATGAAATGAGGGGTAAGTAAGAATTCTGGATGATGGAATAACATGTGCAGTGGCCCAAGGGCAAGGGAGCACATGACACATACAAAGAGGCAGAGCAAGATCCAAGTGTAAGAGTACGTAATGGAGGACTGACTGGAAGTCAGGGAAGCCAGACTGCATGGTGCTTTTTAGCCCGTGTTAAGGATTTTTTTCCTTATTCTAGAAGCAATGGCAAGTCAGGCAAGGGTTATAAGCAGGGGTGAGAAGAGACTTCTGCTCACAAAGATCAGAGTGCTATGTGAACCGGAAGGCATCAGGAGAAGCAGGAAAACTGCTTAGCCAGCTAAGTGAAGGGTGACGCCTGCACAGGCTGGAGTTACGGCAAAAGTGAGACAGGACGAGGTGATCGATTACACCAAAGATGCGAAGGAAAGGAAAAGCATAAGGCAGATAACAGCATTTCAGGTTTGCACAACTGGATAAAGACGCTCTCACTGAATGAAGAACACTCCAAGAGGACCAGACTGTTCTGTTTCATGGGAAGCCTGCCGCAGGCTACAGATGCAAAAGGGAAGACAAAGGGTTCTCTAGACGTGTGAAAATCTTGGTAGAGGAGAACGAAAGATGAAAAAAACAGGAGATCAAAGGAAACAGAAAAAAAACGGAAGCAGTCAGTTACAGTACATCTTAATTTAAAAAATCTTGCAGGGGGCCGGGGATCTAGCTCAGTGGTTCCACCGCCTGCCTCACTTTAAAAAAAATCTTGTGCCTCCAGGATCAGTCATAAAACAGGCTTAGACATTTTGTAGCTCTCAAAACAGAATGTATAGATAAGGGGAGAAGACTTAAAATGAAGTCACTGGGGGAATAAAGACTCTATATAAGGAATTAGTATGAAAGAAAAGTATATATTAAGATAACAAATATTTCCCAATTTGAGAATAAGAGAAAGGATAGTAAATGCCAACATGGGGAAGGAGGAATGAAGTGTCAGCCAGGGAAAAAGGAAGAAGAAAGAGGAGACAAATGACCCCACTTCGCGAATTTTTACAGTTTAGACACGTTTTATCTACCTCTCAACAAATGGCTGTTCTTGGCCTTGTGTGCTAAGGGAATACAGAAATAGCTCCACACCTAAGGCTTTTAACTGAAATCATGGCTTCCACTGCCCTCGTGTGGTGGCAGTGAGGTAGTGCACTACACAGTTCCAGGAGCCTGGGAATGCCCATATTAGAACCATGGTATAATCATTAATCCATGATCAAAGATCTAAAGATCAGAGTAGCAGACAACAAACTGGCAATAGTCCTTGACAAAAGATTTATCTTCTAAGCCAACACGCAAAATATATGTTTTTCTTATTAAATTGGAATAAGAAAAAAGATTTATCATTTTTTTCTTTGTTAATAATCACACATTTAGCAAGTCTAGGATACCCAGCCTGATATCATTTCAAACCCAAACCCTGGCAGATTATACATTTGGCATATTATATGTTATATATAAATATAAATTTACAAATTCCTCAGTTTTAATGGCACATATAAATAAATTAGCATACATTTCTAGCACACATCAATAAGCTTATCACAAAACATTAAAGTTACCCTGAAGGTGTAAATTTTCCTTTTGTTATCCTCAAATTAATAAAAAAAATTTTGACCACTTAGAAGTATACAAAGCACGGTAGTAAACACAATTATAAAACCCCGTCCTCAAAATTCATCAACTAAACAAATACATCATTGATTTAATCAACCTCAACATCATTCACAAAAAAGATGGTAAACGACTGACATGTCATTCCTGACAGTTCTCTTCGTGCTAAAAATAAGCTTGCTTCATGTAGCATTCTGTACATTAATTCCTGCCTTTCTTCTATACTGAATATTCACTTACATTGTACTTCTTTAAAACTGTCTACACACATGCAACAACTAAATTTTGTTTTGTTTTGTTTTTAAGGCGTCTGGACTCAAAGATACGGCACTGTAGGTCAAAACGTGAAATTATCGCACCTGAGTACATTTTCCAGTTCTCACACAGTTGTTTTTATTCTGTAGACACTACATGATTTTGTCACTAAGTATATTCTCGATTTTCATTTCTCCACTCCCCCGCCCCAAGATATAGACACCATTTTATCCATTCTGTCGCTGGACATTCCAAAATATTAAGAATTCAACGAGTTTTCCCTAATCCCCTTGGTCTTTCTCTAACAACCCCCAACATCACCACTACTCCTTTCTTTCCTTTCAGGATGCCTCTTACACACTCGGGTGGCTTTTTACAAAATCACTCTTTGGAATGCTTCTCCGCCTTCTCTCCTTAATTTAGCTCTCTTTTCGAAATAATTTTCCACAGCTAGGCATCAATGTCTTTCTTTCACAAGATCAAACTGCGAAAGGGGGAGAGAACTGAAAACCAAGTGAGCGAAACATTTGGGAATGTCAGTGAGACAGCAGCCTCTCTTTTGAAAGGAAAACACCACTCTTGCACAGTGCTTTCAACAAATCCAAAATACTTTTTCCTCGTTGTGCTCTGACTCCTTCCCTGACCTCGAAGACACCTTCCCTTTTCTCATATTCCCGGTCCCTCTGGTATACGCGGGCTTGCCTCGTCTCCTCCCAAGAAAACCGGAGAAAAGACAAGTGAGCAGTCACCTTCCCGCCGCGCCCAGGAGCTGTCAGGACCCCGTCCCAAGACTCACCTGGCAGGTGCGGCCGCCCGGAGAGTTGCACGAAGCGGTTGAGTTGGCCAGTCCCCCGACCCCCGCTGCCCCCACTACCCCCGCTGGCCCCGCTACCTCCTCCACCACCGCCGGCCGCGCCTCCTCCCCTCCGGCGGTTCCTGTCCCAGCCCTGGGCGGCCGACATGACCCGCTAATGACTGCCGAAGCCCGATCCTGGCAGACCCTGACCCGGCGGCACCAGCTGAGCCTCCTTCCTGGGCTCCTCAAGAGACCAGGGAGACAGGAAAAAGGGGGAGCGCCGGGTCTCACCAGGAACCAATAACTAAGCGTCTTGGTGAGAGACAACCAATGAGCAGACGTCTTCTTGGTAGGTTGAGGGAGGCGGAGAGAGACGTGGTAACCATAGCTATGGCTAAAAAAAAGTAGGGGGTGAGAAAGACAGAAGCAGCCGATCATCAATCGCTCTTAGCGAGCCCGCGACGCAGCGACTCCTGCGGGAGTCAGGTGAGCCTATCGAACCCCGAGTGAGAGAGGCCACGCCTGCCCAAAGACTCCCGGGACGGTTTGTACTCCAAGCATGGTCGGAACTCAAGAACTGTTCCCCATAAACGTGGCAGTCAGAAGCAGGATATGTACATAATGCACATATCTGGGGGCAGTTCTGTTTTCTGCTACCTTTGCTGACTGAGATCCCCATTCCCTGTTGACACAAAGGACTTGCTTACGAGGGTGGGGGTGGGACCCAGAGGCGGAGTCAAAGCCTCTGTGAAAACGAGATTATTTCTGGATTTTATCATTTGTCTTGTCTTTCGGTGTGACTGGCAGGACCTCTCCCCAGATAAGACGTGTCCCAAGCGAGCAGTTTTAAACCTGGTTAACACATATGGAAAATAGCAGTAATGACAGAAATGCAAACTAAACTCCCGATGAGAAACCGTTTCTGGCTTATATCCGTGAGGATTTTACTTCACACACCCGGCACTGTGTAGAGTGCCAAGAAAAACATTCTCTAGCAGATGACGGGTGGCTATGTAAGTGTTTTTGTTCAATCGATCCCTTTTTGCTCGTAGAAAATTTTAATGGGCTTAATATACGATGAAAGGGAAGTGTAAAAAACAAGTATAGAAAGGGAAGTGTCAGAAACAAGTATAGAAAATCAAAGTTAAAAAATACTGATGTGCTGATCAGAAATTCCCTTTGTTCCAAAATTAAGCACACACCAAAAAAGTGGTTTTAAATTGGGGGACTCGGTGAGAAATGGGAAACCGTATAGTTCTCACTGATGCGGTTGCATGGTAGGGAAAAAAAAATCCACAGAAATTCTGCAAGCAAGCGGAACTTTTCGGGCTCTTAGATCTGGTGTGTTTTTTCCCCCTGTGGTGTTTCATATAGGAGAACCTTATGTGTTGAAGAGGGAGAAAAAAGAAACTGCCAAATGCGGGGACAAATATCCTTTAATCTTGGCGTGCCAAGTTTCAGGTCGCCACTATCTCCACCTTGTTTTCTTTCCTACGTCCAGTTTCTGTAGGAAGAGCGGTACTTTAGCCGTTAAGCATTATAACACACTGATTATGTAAATGTCTGAGACCTTAAAATTCGGGGCTTTAAAATATGAAAAATGAAATAAATGTATGTCATTTTCTAAAGAAACGGTATCACTGGATAACCAAATAGTTAACTGAATAGAAAATTATCTTTGTAAGAGGATTCCAAGTAATAAACAAACAAGAAATAATGGAATGCCACCATTTTGCAGCCCCTAATGAATTAGGAGAGCTGACTGCCCACTGAGTATCAATCACTGCTAGCATCACATCATGAACAATGATACAGTATGCACCTCCAGAACATAAACGGGACCATGAAGTAGTCTGTGGGGGGGATTAAACCTGAGTCTCATCAGACATCTATATCCGACTAGCAATTTATAGGAAATACAGAGGAAGAGAAACATGTTAAAAGATGCTACACTGACTGTAGAAATTCTACAGGACAAATAAACAACTTTGTTTTTGTTTTCTTTTCTTTTATCGAGACAGGGTCTTTCTATGTAGTCCAGGTTGGCCTAGAACGCTCTTTGTAGCCAGGCTGGCTTCCAAGATGTGATCCTCCAGCTTCACATCCAGAGTGCTAGGATTACAGGTATATGCACCACATCTGACAGTCTTTTTTTTTTTCCCAAAAACAATTCTTCAAAAAATAAATTGAAAGGAGAAAAAGATTTGGACAGGAAAATCTACAAATTATACAAATTTGTGGTTATACAATTATAATAAATATACTAAAAATTATTGAATAATAATGACACAATTTTGCAAATAATTAAAAGCCACTCAGTTGTGTACTTTACAGGGGTTGTGTACAGTAAGTTATATCTCAGTAAATAAATTTTAAATAATATGGGAAAGGAAGAATGGATGGGGAGATAGATGAAACAACACTGGCTTCACTTAAAATCAGTAAATTAAATTTCAATCTAGTTGTTAAAAAATACAACGACTTAAAAAATTTAACCAATTGCAAGCACACCAACTGAGAGAACATTAATGAGAATATTGGAAATTCCAGCACTGAATATTTTATGACAGTAAAGAATTATTGTTACTCTTTAGGTATGACATTAGAGTGGTTAACAAGAGAATCCTTCTCTTTTAGAGATACATACTAAAATATACATGGGTAAAATTGTGCACACCAGAGCCGGGCATGGTGGCACATGCCTATAATCCCAGCTACACAGGAGTCTGAAGCAAAAAGATAAAAAATTCAAAGTCAGCCTGGGCAATGTAGTGAGACTGTGTCTCAAGGTGAAAAATAAAAAGGGCTCAGGCTGGTCGTAGTGGCACACGCCTGTAATCCCAGCACTCAAGAGGCTGAGGCAGGAGGATCACCGTGAGTTCGAGACCAGCCTGCACTACATAGTGAGCTCCAGGTCAGTATCAGCTACATAGTGAGACCCTGTCTCAAAAAACCAAAAAAATTTAAAAAGGGGATACTGAGGATGTAGCTCAGTGGTAGAGTGTCCTGGGTTCTATCCCCAGTACAAAAAAAAAAAGTTATTTGTTTTAAAGTAATATAGGACTTCCCAAATAAAATAGGATCCAGCAATTCCACATACATAGATATATACACATTTAAATATATTTCCACACAAAAATGAGTACATTAACATAATATTATTCATAATAGCCAGAAAGTGGAAACAGTGTAAATATTCATGAACTTATGAATGAATGAACAAAATGCAACATGTCCATACAATGGAATAATGTTTGAGAATAAAAACTCTACGGAGGGCTGGGCATGGTGGCACATGCTTGTAATCCCAGCACTCAAGAGGCTGAGGCAGGAGGATCATCTAGAGCTGGAGGCCAGCCTGGGCTGCATAGCAAGTTCAAGGATAGCTTGCACTACCTAGCAAGATCCTGTCTCATAAAAAACAGAACAAAACAAAACAAAAAGCTGTCTAAAGAAAGGCTCATGCTTGCCTAGTGTAAACAAGTCTTGAGTGTAGTCAGTCCCTAGTACTATAAAAATGAGTAAACCAAAAAAAAAAAACTAAAAAATAAGACCAGGTAACTGTAAATTATCTCCTATATATTAATATATATGAAATCAATTTTAGATTCTAGAAACAAATTGAATAACAAGTTTCATTATTCTTTTTTTGTAACAGGGCTCGAACTCAGGACCTTGGGCTTCTGAGGCAGGTGGCGGCACCACTGAGCCAAATCCCTAGCCCTGCAATTTTTTTTTCAGTACCAGGGACAGAAATCAGGACCTTGTGCTTACCAGGCAGGCACAGCACCCCTGAGCTACAACCCCAGCCCCCAAGTTTTGTTATCCTTAACAAGATGTGAAATTATTATTTTATAAGCCTTTGACAAGGTTATGGGCATGCATTTTTAATTGGGTTACATCTTGAGTGCCATTGAAATTATTTATAGAAAGATTTTCAAATTAATGCATACAAATTGGACTTGGTAGTACACAACTGTAATTCTAGCTACTTGGTAGACTGAGTCAGGAGGATCACAAATTTAAGGCCAGCTTACGTAACTTAGCAAGACTGTCTCAAAATAAAATAAAATAAATGTAGATTTTTTAAAATGTAGCCCAGTGGTAGAGCATTTGCCAAGCATTTTCAATCCCCAGGATTAAAAAAGGGGGGTACACAAGTAATATGAGCCCTCCAGCGTGTTGCAATAAGAAGTACTTGGTATCACCCATCAAATTATCTTGCCAACAACGTTACCTTGAATCTGATCAGGATTTAAGCTCTAATATCCAGTTTATAGGAATTTCAGGGAACAAAGGAAGAAGTTAAATGACAACAAACAAATCCAGAGGGACAAAATATATGGCCTGGTTTCATCAATAAGGCAATGTCGTAAAAAACAAAAATAAAGTAATACAAATCCGCTGTGGTGGCACACACCTGTGATCCCAGCACTCTGGGAGACTGAAGCAGAAGGATCACCAGTTCCAGCCCAGCCTCGGCAGTGCAGTGATTTAGAGATACCCTGTCTCAAAAATAAAAATTAAAAAAAAAATTTTAAAAGCTGGGTATGTAGCTCAGTGCAACTAGGTTTAATCCCCAGTGTTGCCCCCCAAAAAATCCACAAAAAACAAAAAATAAAACAGGAGGCAAAAGGGAAACCGCTAACAAAATAATATATTTAGGCAGTGATAATCAATGAATGCTACCATAACAAAAAGCAAAAACTAGACATTACCACCTGCTGACAAAAGTAACCCAGTTGTTTATACAGTTTTACCAATCTGAATAAAATCAGACCTTTCACTGTGACTGCCAGTTTACAGTAAAAAAAGGGATCGAGAGAGGTTGGAGGTGTGACTTAGTGGTAGAGCATATGCTTAGCATAAAAACACAATGTAGAAAACTAGGAAAAACAGCCTTTGTGTTAGTTACTTTTCTCTCATTGCTGAGACAGAAATACCTGACATCCAAAGTTAAAAGGGAAAAGGTGTTTTAGCTCGCAGTTCACAGAGGTTTCAGTCCATAATTGGCTGGCTCCGTGACAGGGTGGCAAATAGCAGAGGGGCGTCACAGAGGAGAAACAGTTCATGGCACCCACATGGTAGCAAAAGCAACAAGGGAATTTAACTATGTCTTTCTGCCCCTTTTATTTTATTCAGACTACTGGGATTAGGGTGGTGCCAAACCAATCAGTGTACTGGTTTAGTAATCACACACACTTAATCCACACATCACAGACTCTAGCTTCAGCCACCACATGAGACTTTGGGGGAATGTGTAGACCCAAACCATAACAACCCTTAATAT